CATCTGCAGGTGGTGATAAACTCTGGTTAAATGGGGGCTACACTTACCTTGCAACTCGGCAGAAAGAGCTTGCCTCGTTAGTAGAAGATACAGATTCTGAGTGGTCTGCTGCGCTCTGTGAGCCGCCGCAAGGCTCAGCTTTGTCGATTGCTGATCAAGTGGCTAAATTTCTCACCCCATGCGGCCGGCCCTATGAAAGTTATATTCACGGTGATGTCAAATCCGAGAATCTTTTCACCACCGGCTCAGGCGACGAGGTAGCCTTTTTTGACTTTCAATACGTTGGATTAGGCTTGGGAGTTTGCGATCTTGCCAAGCTGTTTACGTGCTCAGTACCGTTGGGGATGCTCACCAACGACTACGATGTCCCTGAAGAGCTCCTCATGGATGACGGGGAGAGGGCCTTATTAGAGCGTTACCGTGAAGCCCTACTGGCCCGTCGCCCATCGGGCATGAAAGAATTTGATTATCCGATGAACATTCTGGTCCGCCACTGGGAGACTGCGCTTGTGGATTGGTGTCGTTTCCAAGCATCATGGGGTTTCTGGGGCAATACAGAATGGCTCGAGGCCAGGGTTCGATCGATATTGAGGGATCCAGCTTGGCGAGAGTGGCTACGAAATGAAAGTGGCTAGTTCCTTGCTCAGGACTGATGTTGAGGTCTGTCCCAACTCGACGTCGCCAGCCGTTGGAGCATGTAACCGTATCTAAGCTCAGCGATCGAGTGTCGTTTTGGGGGAACATAAAGACTGAGAGTTTTAGACTAGTGAGAAATCCTCTAGAATATAGAATGTGGATACTTTCTTGAGAGGCCACGACTGTCAAAGCATGGCGAAGCGACTCGTACTCACCAAGTCAATAGCTCTCAGACAAGTAGGTACATATTACGTAGGCAAAAATATGGTCTAGAATCTATCAGAACATTAAGAGAGTATCCGCCCAAATTCGCTCCTATGCTGAAACATGAAATGACAGAGATGGCATTATCTAACATCTTTACATAGCATCCGTAACGAAAGTCACCCACAGGAATCGATTTTCTCACTGATGTACGCCATTCTGTTTCTTCGTGAGGGCGTCTCTCGTAATTCACAAATCCAATGGGGCCCAATAGCTCAATTACGATGCTGACCCCGCTACGTTCGAAGCAGTTGGACCCTCTCGGCTCAGCACCCACATGAAGATGAACTGGATAACATAAGAATAGATGAACAGAAATTGGGTGCGACGATTGCGTTGTGACCGGGCGACGGTGTGCATCGATCCCGTGCGTGCATCAGTGGCCGAGTCCGGAAGCAGGACGTATTTCAAAGAACGAAGCTAGATGATACGTTAGTCGATTAGTTTGGCACGAAGGTCCGAATCAGAAAGACTTACCAAGAAGAACGCATTAGCTAGGAACGTGTAAATGAACACAACCCATCCGACCCAACCACCGGTGCCTCTTCCCGGAGTTAGAACCTCGGATGTCACCAAGGTAATGATGATGCCCACAAATTTATAGCCTGAGTAAGCCACGAGATCTAGTAGCTGCGACTCATTGTTTATGCTGAGAATATACGTGGCCAGCTTTAGACAAAGTATCTCGAATACGATGACTGCAATAGCTGTTGTCGTGATCGAACCAAGAAGTTCGGGGTGGAAGTTGCCTCTGAACCCTGCCAGCATTGCCGATAGGAGGATATACGTGACGAGAGCCATGACCGGAATATACATATCGGGCGAGTTCAGGTCATCGCGAGGGGGCAGGAACATGGTCGAGTATTGCTGGTGGGAGATCTGACCATTGGGGCCTGTGGATGCCGCCGTGACACGGCTTTGCTGGCGAGACCATGGTTTGTGTCTCCAAGGAAAGAGTACCAGGGCGAGTTTATTCAATACATAGGAGTTGGACACATTGAAATAGTGTTTTAGGGCGGGAATGGAAACGTAGCGGTTGAGCTAACAAGATAGTTAGTCGAAAAAACAATAAGCCTGCCCTTGTGTTTTCAATCGCCTACATTCTGTTCCATATATTCTTGGCCGGCCATCATAGCGGTCTTCCCGACCTGAAATCCCATTTGCGCCGTGGGATCGTTGATGAAACCTCCAAATCCAGGGGCGTAGGTCCCACTACCGCCTTGCGCCGGAGCGGGCTGATATGGGTTGTTGCCATAGCCAGACGTCTGAGACTGCTGGGATGTCGGGGGGGGAGGAGAGCGCATCATAGGGACGGTGGAAACATGCTGAGGAACCGGATGATGAAGCGGAGGTGACTGTGCTGGCGGCGGAGCGAAGGACTGGCGGTACATGTTTTGTTTTCCCTAGTTAGAGAACGGGTAGGAGAATCAGACAAAAGGAGGGTTCTGGTTTAATTAAGGAATGTCTAAGTTGCAGAATTGTGCAGTCGGAGGAGAGTGAAATAGTGGTCGGAGTGGGTGTTTATACGTGGCTGAACTCTTGGGAGGTAAAGGTGCTTTCCGCCCGCAGGATAATTTCCCCACAGTGCGGATCTTCTTGCCTTCTCCTACAGCCCATACCTTACACACCTCGACGCAATTTATTTAGCAAAGCTTAGTCGAAATGTTGGAAGCGTTCGAGATTCTCACTACCTCCGGGGTAGTTTTATGGTCCAAATCCTACGCCCCCGTTGGCGCCCACATTGTCAACAGCCTTATCAATGATGTCTTTATCGAAGAAAAGGTCCAGACCCAAGCGGCGAATGCGGCCTACCCAGTGTACAAAAAGGAAAAATATACATTGAAGTGGAAGAAAGTCAAGGAGTTTAATCTGATATTTGTCGTATGTACTGGTCTTATAGCATGCTGCTATCGTCGCTAATCTTGAGTTCGCCACAGGCCGTGTATCAATCACTTCTGCATCTCGGTTGGATCGACAAACTTCTGGACAATATCTCCACCTTGTTCATCGACATCTACAAAGACCAACTACGGAGTACGCACCTTAGGGTGGTCGAATATCCTTTTGACAGATATTTCGAACAACAAGTTAAGGAGCTTGAAGACAATTCAGCGCCCATCAATTCAGAGGGTGTCGTGACCACTGCGGAACATAAGAAAGACCCGCTTGTCTCATCGGAACATGGTGGCCCTCCCCCCCCATCTGTCCCTGGCCTTATTCAAGGTATGTGCTTGTAGATCATAAATCAAGAGGATATGCTGACACCTATAAAGCGCAGCGTCAGGCTGCGCCGGGCGTGGCGACCTCTGACGAGGGTACGCCGCCCCAGACCCCAGATACTTCTCGATCAACCACGCCTGTCGCGAGTCAGATTCTGACCGCTAGAGGAGGACCTGGTGGCCGAGTTTCTCGCCGTGCGCGCAAGGCGGCGAACGCGAGCGCAAACATTTCATCGGGGGATGAGAGCATCCGCAAGGGAAAGACACCGAAAGGAGGAAAGAAGATGCGCAAATGGGATGCGGATGGATATGCCGATGAAGATGACGGTACGGTTCTGGATTATTCCGCACCTGCTGATGGTGACGACGCAGCTGCTCCAGCCGTGGAAGCTGTTGCACAGGATTCCTGGGGCCACAGAACGGGGAAAGGACAGTTCGTTCTGAAAGACTTGGGTGATGAAGTCCATTCTATCCTGGAGAATGCGGATAGTGAAAAAGCGAAGAATGCGACCACAGGAATCGTTGGCTCAGGATTCAATGCTATCGGTGGCCTTTTCCGCAACATTGTGGGTGGGAAGGTCCTGACTGAATCCGATTTGGAGAAGCCCCTGAAGGCTATGGAGGACCATCTTCTGAAGAAAAACGTGGCGCGTGAAGCAGCAGTCCGCCTATGTGACGGTGTGCAGCGGGAACTTGTCGGGAAGAAAACAGGAAACTTCCAAAGTGTGGATGCTGCATTGCGCCAAGCCATGGAGTCGTCTTTGCGGAAGATACTCACCCCTACATCTTCGCTGGATCTGCTTCGTGAGATTGATATAGTCACATCTCCCACAAGTAAACAGCAATCTCCCCGTCCTTATGTCATCTCCATAGTCGGAGTTAACGGTGTTGGAAAATCGACCAATTTGGGCAAGATTTGCTACTTTCTGTTGCAAAACAACTATCGCGTCTTGATTGCAGCATGCGATACTTTCCGCTCTGGCGCGGTCGAGCAACTTCGTGTCCACGCCCGGAATTTGAAAGAACTCAGTGCCCGTGAAAATGTTGGGCAAGTTGAGCTGTATGAGAAGGGATATGGCAAGGATGCAGCAAATGTGGCCAAGGATGCTGTTGAGTACGGAGCTGCCAACAAGTTCGACGTTGTTTTGATCGATACTGCTGGCCGGCGTCATAACGACCAGCGCCTGATGTCTTCTCTCGAGAAATTTGGCAAATTTGCCAAACCGGATAAGATCTTCATGGTTGGAGAAGCTCTGGTTGGCACTGATAGTGTGATGCAGGCGCGTAACTTCAACCAGGCATTTGGCACTGGCAGAAACCTGGATGGGTTCATTATCAGCAAGTGTGACACTGTCGGGGACATGGTTGGCACACTCGTGAGCATGGTCCATGCAACTGGTATTCCCATTGTATTTTTGGGAGTTGGGCAGCATTATGGAGATTTGCGAGGACTGAGTGTTCCTTGGGCTGTTAACTTGTTGATGAAGTGATGCGTGCAATGGTCCTTTCTTTCTTTGTCTATTTAATTAAATCGATTTATTGCAATTTATTTTGAGCAAATATATTTCATTACAATCGCTACTCGCTTTAAAATGATGCATTCGTATCAATGTCCATATCGATCGTAATGATGAATCTGATACATGGCTTGCCCAGACTCTCAGCCACCTAAGTGTAGAACAATAATAACTCAATCTTTACTCCTGGTGTACGGAAGGAGTTTTACGGAGAAAAGAAAAAAGAGGGAGGGGGGGGGTAACACAAAAAAAGGATCAAGGCTGCTTGATAGATCCCAAAATTAAAAGAGAAGAAAAAGGGAGTAAAAGAAAAGGAAGAACGAAGCCCTGTCAGGGAGACAAGGGAAATAAAAACAAAAAGTAATGACCTACGCAGGGGTCGAACCTGCAATCTCTTGATTCGTAGTCAAGCGCCTTGCCATTGGGCCAGCAGGCCTTACTGTAGATTTTAATGAAAAAATGATATATATAGAGTAACAAAAAGCTCTGTCGCCGGGTGGGCTTTTTGTGAAGAAGACTCCACACAGTGGAGCAAACGCGAAATAGAAGTGGATGAAGATCATTGGCGACAGTCCAAAGGTTTAACAGTATATAAAACGAGAAACAACCCTGTTTATATTGACCTTGTTCTATTGTGATTATTCGCTTTGTTTTCATAGATCCTATTATTATGATACGGATTATCCTCCATACTGAAAATAGAATCCATTGCGGTATGATGTCATGTGCGGAAAAAGATACATGGCACGTGCGGGACGCGTGGGTGGTGGACAAGAGTTTGGCTTTGGCTTGGCTCTTAATTCCATTGTACTGGGTACAGGGTAAGGAAAGACCCTGTACTCGACTGTCTCTTGCACTTCTTCACAGGGACAATGCAGTCTAAGCCGGGCCAATGATGGTCTTCTGCAGGCCATGACCACCAGTCAAATGCTTTGCAATATTAATTTACGGGCTTTGACCCCGGGCTGAATGGATGACTCAGCACAATCCCTCCCCATTATTGGCTTACCTCATCCTCTATATTGGACATTCTTTTCGGCCGTTCCTTGTTCGTTGCCTCGATCTTAATCGCGCTGGATTCCTTTCCTGACCTTTTCCTCACCATCTGATTCACAGAGCTTGGAGCTTCACATAGACATTGTCATACTTTCTTTCGGTGGTGTTTCAGGGTCAGGAACATCTCCCCCTTCATTTTCTTCGCCTCAACACCCACGCCACATCGCGAAAGCTTGGAAAGTCATTGAGCCTCAGCGCCCCCACTAGGACCGTTATTGACGGTCTAATTAAACAAGTCCTTGATCGTGCCGCTGAATATATGTGCTGAGTACGCTTGAGGGTCCATTACTCTGTGTGCATAACTGCCCAACCTCGAGATGAGGACGTCTGAGCGGGACGCCCTCAATCGGCGCCGTTCCTCCACACTACACTACCAGACCTTCGAGACACCGCCGCCAAAATCGCGTGGTCGACCAAATTCGGGTGAATCTAGATCCTCGGCAGCAGATCATCCCCACGATGAACCCAACCATAATGAGTCAGAAGGACACTCCCCATTGCCAAAGAAGCAGATGGCTGTCCTGGCAATGATCTCCCTCTGCGAACAGACAGCCTTCAATTCGATCAGTCCATACTTGCCTGAAATGGCTTCGAAGTTCCCTGAGGTGGAAGAGAATCTGGTTGGCGTGTATGTTGGAACACTTGCTACCGCTTTCGCTATAGCGCAGTTCGCGACAAATTACTTTTGGGGCTGGTTGTCAGACAGAATCGGACGAAGGCCGGTCATTTTGCTGGGTACTATATTGACAGCAGCATGCTTTGTTGCGTTCGGCTTCTGCAGGACACTGGCTCAGGCGATTATCGTGCAAGCTTTGATGGGTGCCGTCAATGGCAATCAAGGCTTGGTATCTACTTGCCTGGGTGAAATCACTGACCGGAGTAACCAGTCAAAGGCTTTTACCTACCTCCCTGTCCTCTATGGAATCGGAGGCATAACAGGTCCTTTAGTGGGCGGCTTGCTTGTCTTCCATCATAACCCGTGGGACAGCAGCAAGCTCAATCCGTATCCGTACCTCGCACCCAATCTTATGGCTGCGGCGGTTCTAGTGCTGGACTTTGTCTTGTCGATATTTTTCTTGGAAGAAAGTCTTGAAGACCCCGATAGTCTACCTAAACTGCAGCAGAGGGTCCGCGATTTCTTCTCCTGGTTGTGGCAGTTTACCAGTCTTGCGAAACGGGCGAGATATCTGCAACCACCGCACCCTATCCCGTATCGCCCTTTTCGCCAGGATTCTGGAGATGCAGCGGACCATGACAGCGACCTTGACTCGGCTTCGGAGGCTTCCAGTTATCGTGACCATCACCGCGCAAGTTTGACATCAAGCGAACTGTTGAACCGGGACACCCTGTTGCTCCTCTTAACATATCTTGTTTTCTCCCTGTGCAACGTTGCCTACAATGCGCTCTTCCCGATCTTCTCGCAGGCTGCTCCTCCCACTGGGCGAGGTCTTACACCCTCAGAAATTGGTCTTGCGCAAGGATTCTCTGGTTTCGTAACGATCATCTTCCAGATCTGTATCTTTGGAAAGTTGAGAGATAAGATGGGAAATCGGTGGTCCTATCGCGCTGGTCTCTTTGGCTTTGTGGTTTCCTTTATCCTGATGCCCTTCATTGGCTACAAGGGTAACGACTCCGGAGGCCTGTCTGGTAAAACTGCGCTCTTAGCCGCTGAGCTATGCTTCGTGTTACTGGTAAAGACAATCGCCACCGTTGGCGGATTAACCAGCGCACTGCTACTAGTAAGTCTACCCCTTACATACCCCTGTCATCCAACAACCAGATAATAACAGATTCAACCATAGATCACCAACTCCGCGCCTGACCACGCAGTCTTGGGAGCTCTCAACGGCCTCGCCCAGACTCTATCAGCAGCTGGTCGAGCAGTGGGCCCGTTCGTGTCGGGCGGTCTATTCAGTCTGTCATCGCGAATCAAGCCCAAAGGAGAAGCCTTAGCCTTCGGCGTTTTTGCTGGCATTTCATTCGTTGGATTCCTCCTGAGTTTCGGCATTCAAGGCCGGTCCCTTGAAGCTGATGATTGGGAGAGTGATAGCGATCATTATAAATCTGACGATGAGGAACCAGACTCATAAGGGTCGGCGTTTTTCTCGCCATTCAAATACTCTAGTTACGATTAACGAGCTTAGCACTGCTTTTATATGCGGGGTTTGTCTGTATGTGTTTGATACATAGTCTTTGTATCTTCTAGCTTTCTTTTCTTTATCTTCTTTATTTTTATAAACGAGCGGTGAGCGTTTGGATTGAAAAGTGTAAGTGATCTTTCTTCCCGAGAACCAGGCTTGGGGTCATGAATGTTTGGTCTGTAGAAGCAATCGAAACGAAAAGGTAAATAGAGTTAGAATAGACAGTACTGACTTTGATGCCTGTGTATGTTTTATTTCATGTCAAGACTACCAGATAAAGCGGTACATTCAATACTACAAAAGGTATCCAGAGAGTAAATATTGGCTATAAAAAAGCTCATAAGACAGATATGCTAGACAAGACAGCAGTAGACGATCGTTATTCCAAGCGAACAAGATAAAGAGAGACATTTCCATGACACAGAAAGCATAAAAGCCGTATACAGAAACATATATATCGTTCCCCACCTTAACCCGTAGTAACAAATACAGCTCGAAGACAAGAAACTATCTTATTTCCATACCCATTCGACAACGTGCATAAACACCTCCCCCAAAAATCCAGTAAGAAGCAACCCCTGCGCGAACTCAATCAGTTCATCATCGGGTAACTCCAGCGCCTGGAACCGTTCCTTCTCGCCCCCGCCACCTCGCACACTGATTCGCCTCTCGATGATTGATTTGAGCATTTCTCTCCCCGGGGTGACGAGCACGTAGCGGGCTTGGGGCTGGGGCATTTCGGAGGGTACGTAGACAATTGCCTCTTGTCTGTCTGGGGAGAGCCAACGGACGCCCTTGAGGTCAGCCGTGGAGGAGGTTGACGACGGAGAGGTGGACCTGCTGCTCGAGTCTCCTTGGTTGTGATCTAGGAGGGGGTTGTCGATGGTGGCGTATTGGATGTCGCAGTCCAGGGAGAAGAGGATGACGGTGTTTGTGTCGGAGTTGAGCTTCATTCGGAAGGTTGTGAAGTTCCGAGGGTCGAGGTAGAAGGTGTAGCTGGCTGTTACGTTGACGGATTTGGTTTTGTCGACACGGCGGATTTTGGAGATGGCTTGGTCGCGTGCGGAGGTGGGACATTTGGCCTTTACGGCGAGAGACTTGGATTCTCGGAGGGAGACGGATGGGATGCAGTAGGGAAAATGTGTTTGGAGGGCTTGCTTTTGGCAGATTTCATTACAGAAGCGGAAGATTTTGCAGGCTGTGAGGGGTTTAGTGGTGGATAATGCTTGGGGATGGAGGAGGGGACTTACTGTTACAGAGAACTTTCGTGTTAGCCCTGCAGTTCTCACATTGAGCTGGTTCATGAAGAGACCATGCTTTTCGTTCATCGGCGAGAATGTCTCGTCGGCGGTTGAGGTCTGAGATTCGCCTATCTGCGTATCCAATTCTTTTCCGTGAGGGGTGATCCGCTGGTGTTCGATTTGCCATATGGATGAGCTGTTTGTATGCAAGAATCGCCTTGTCGATGGAGTCGAGATGCTCCCGAGAGACACATAGCGCACTGAGCGCATCAAAGGTCTCTGACGCTTCAGGGCCTTTGATGGTCAGAAAGTCCTCTACCAGTGCCTCGAAAAGCTCTGCTGCGTCATGGTTGAGGCCATTATCCATGTATGATCTCCCTAGTTGGTGGATGACTTTCAGGGAGTCTGGATCCCTGGATCGTTGGTAGTGGTCGAGAATGTCTTGGATATCCGTGGGGAAGTCAAAATTATTAGAATCTTGGAAATACCGGACAACTGCGTCTCTGGTGATAGGGCTGTTGATGCCGAAGAATGTTCTGCAGTGCGGAATGGTTCTGTGGCTTATTGCGCGGGACTCCTTGCCCAACCCAAGTTTCTGATATAGAATAGATAAATGATTCATCGCGTTCAATGTCGTTGCATGTTGTAGACCAAAGACGGTTTCGAGTGCTGGAACCACCTTCTCCAACAGGAGCAAGGCAGCTTCCAGGTCACCTAGTAAAACCTTAAGAGAAGCAAGATCCTGCATGCTACTCAGGGTCTCCGGCGCATTGTGCCCGAGCATCTTCAATCGACCTGCAAATGAGCGCTCATATAATGCTGCTGCTTCTGTGGCGTATCCATCTCTCTCGTATAGAGCCCCGAGGTCGTGCAGAACAGAAAAGTTCTTAGGGTTATCACGCCCAAGCGCCCGCTTATAAAGTCCTAAGGCCTCCAGGCAACAGGCTTCCGACTGGGCAGGCATGTCAAGGTTGCGATATGCCTGTCCCATGGAATGC